CTATTGAAATTTGTTTTCAGAATTATACCACGATATACCATTTAGGTAGTATTGAGCCAAGGGCGGCTTCAAAGTTCAAAGATATCGGTTGGGGGAGGGGACAACCATATCTTTCCCCCGGGGAAGTCGTAATTTTCAAAAAACTTTCGATTTTTATAGGCACCGGCAGGAATTTTATCGGGGGGGGGGGGGTGCATCGTGCAAGTATACGCTGACTTCTAAATAATGCTTGTATACGTAATAATAATAATAATAATAACAACAATAATAATAAACAACAATAATAATTCTTAATTAGTAATAATAGTAGTAGTTAAATACTTAAAAATATTTTTTCAAATTGAAAACTTTGTTCTATCATATCGTCATTCTTATTTTGTGGAAAGCACATGATCTTCCACTACGAGGTAAAAATGGTGAAGGTTCCGTTTTTACAGATTTATTACAATTCCGTGTCGAATCAGGGGATACAGTTTTGAATAAGCATTTAATGTCTGAAGCTAAAAATCCGTAGTATATCTCACATGAAATTCAAAACGAATTAATTAAAATGTGTGCTTTTGTACTTCGACTAAACATTATTGAAGAAATGAAACTTTCACCAATTTTTTCGTTCTCAGCTGACGAGACTGGCGATATAAGTGGCACCGAACAATTGTCAATAGGTCATAGGACTATAAGAAGAGGCTACCAAATTCATTGAAAATTCAGTTGAAGAATTTAGAAAAAAACTTAGGCGTTTACTTTTATTATTTAAAAAATAAGTATTATAATACATAATATAAATAATATTTTTTTTTTTTAACAGTATACTATTTTTAGAAATACGGGCTTAGAAGTGGACGGCGGCTCCTAGCTAGGGCCCCCTAATTTGAGCAATCACCAGTTAAATACAAAATATACCGTCAACCCTATGTGTCTAAAATCAAATCACAAAAGTCTTACTTTAAATATTGTTGATGCACTCGAATAACTTCCACCGGAAATAGCGCGTGTGGTGAGCTTTTCCATCCCTTGGGGTTTGGCTCTCTTCATCACTGATGTCATTTTGTTAGTATATATGTTTGTATTAACTACAGGCGTCAACGAGTGATGTGTAAATGTCCCACTTCACACAAATCATTCGCCGTTTATAACTCAATATGTATAGGTCTCCAACTCCAATTATGATCTCGCCCGATGTACCTTAACAGCAACCTCTTTGACCGGTTTACTGGTAATAATTAATTTTTATATTGAAACCGCCTTCTTCGTTATTCTTGGTTTTCTAAAATGTGATCCATGTCATCATTATACTAAGTAAATATAGTGTAGGGATGGCAAATCCACAAAACTCGTGTCCCAGGCATAGAGACCTATTAAGAATTTCTTATTTCTTAATAGCGGGCTTGGTAAATTGAGTTCCAAATGACCCTAACTCGGTAAATGGAGTCCCGGGGAAAAACAGGTAGTAGGTAAGTTGAGTCCCCGGGAAAAACGGACTCAATTTACCTAGCCCCCTTATTAGGTCTATGGTCCCAGGTAACGCGTGATAAAATGTTGATGGAACGCGAAAAATTGAAATATTTATACTACCTATATATAAATAATATGCTATTGTTTTTTTTAATAATAAATTACATAACAATGTATATACATATTAATATTCACAGATAGATGTATCTATTATACCTCAGTTTTTATGAACCTCTTTTATTAATTTAATGGCACCCTCGAAAAAAAAATGAAAAGGTTATTTTTGGCACGTAAAGTCAAAATAATTTAATACTCCTGCTATAGTGTAACACAACAAAGATTTGATTATAATTTGCTATCATAGGATACTTGATATAATTCTGGTAAAAGGATAACCAATTCTGGTTGTTCATTTCGAAATTCCTACTTGGTAACAGAATTATGCACTCTTCTACACGAAATATAAAATTTGATACTTTTTTAAATTACTTAAGATGTTACATAAATTAATAGAAGATTAGTGTTTAAAATAAAAAGTGTATAATTTTTACTCGTAATGTGGTGATCAAAAATGCTAGAATTTTTTTTAAAAAATTATATCATATCAGTCTCGCGATAGCACTCGTCTGCTTCGCAAGCGTTCCATGCGCTCTCGCGGTAAATTAATTAGGTTACATTAAATTAGTTACATTTAATTTTCTATTACCATACCCATAGTATGTAAGAACGTCCGATTAACTTCAAAATCTTTTTCTTTAAGTAAAAATAAAGACAAATCAGTTCTCTTTTTCGCCCAAGTTAAGTAAGTGAATAAGTGAATACGTAATATACGTAATTTACATCTTCGGTTTCCAATAAATAGTTATTTTTCTACCTGTTAAACTTGCACGATCTGCATACGTCGCTCTTATCTGCGGCCGTCTAAATAAGCCTAATTACCTACAAACGCTATTGCTCGTCTTTGAGTAAAATATTATCATTCTATTATTATTATTATTTTTTTTTTATTATTATTATTAATCAATCTAATTTTTAATATTATATATTATATGACAAATGAATACCAATAATAGACAAAATAAAAACAATCCTATCACTCCGATTACAATTGCGAGAAATAAAAACATCACATCTGATCCAGGCTGGATTGTCAAGAAGTCCACCAACAACAACAACAAAATAAAACACTCCAGCTCTTCTGCCTCCGAACCACCAACATCGCCAAAAACCCAAGAAACCGATCAAAATACTAAAAAAAAAATTTTGTAACTCAAAATTGATACGATATTCTGAGTCTGATGAAAATCAAAATCAACCCACAAACTCGCCCCTCACTTCCATTACCGAACAAATTGACATTGATGAAATTGTACCCATCAAACCACCTCCCTCCAGTCTTTATAAAAGGTATCGCTGATTTTCCTGAACTTTGTAAAGAACTTATAGAAGTTATTGGATTAGATAACTTTATCTCTAAATCATCTGCTGACAAATTAAAAATCCAAACCTCAAACCCAGATTCATACGGAACTCTAATTCGCTACCTCAAAGAGGAGGAAACCGAATATCATACTTATCAACTCAGAGAGGATAATTATACGTTGCTTACATCCTTCCACACCAACTGAAACTATAAAAGAAGAGTAAGAACTTATTTCCTTCGTGGTCAGACAATTAATCAATGTCCTTCATAAGGTAAATAAAAATCCTCTTTCGTTATTTTTTATTGATTTGGAACCCACAACCAAACCTTCAGAAATTTTTCATTTGTCTTCACTCTGGCGTACTAAAATCAAAATCAAAGTACCTTCTAAGCCAATGTCATGATTGCCAACAATACGGGCATACAAAAGCAAATTGTGGCTACCAACCTCGCTGTGTCCCCTGCGGATTAGATCACCTCTCATCTGTGTTCCCCAACTCACGATAACTTACTACAAAATGTATCTTTAAGACCTTAACTCATAACGTCCAACGCTCCGTCTGATAGCATAATACCTCCCACTCCTGATCCGCAGGCTCTAAATATTAATAAGATAATGTCAAGGTTCATAGATAACTTTAAATCTCTCAAAAATCCATTAATTTCCCTTCTCACTAAAGTAATTTTTTGCTTACTTGATAGAAATGCCAAATAACAATCATAACAATAACTCTGTCACAGACAACTCTCTACTTACATTACTATTCAACGCAAATGGCCTAAAAAATCATGCTCATGCAGAGATCTTTTACAAATAGAAAAAAAAAGGTTGGATAAATAATTTCACAAATAAAAAAAATCAACATTAAAGTGTCATCATTGGGTGGCTTCTTAAATCACTGTATTCTCTTTTGTGTACTCATGTTATATGTCTTTTAACCTATTATTATTATTATTAACCTACTATAATTATGTCTAATGATATAGATTGTGTATTTTGACTTAAGATAAAAAAAAAAATTGTATCATATAGTATACATTTTACTTATCAAATGATGTTGTCTATCGAACACTTTATCATAAAAATAAACATAATATTTATGAAAGCTGCATTATTAAAACTAAAAAAATTGCAAAGTTGCTTCCTTTCTTCATTATTATAGTCAAAATTGCAAGAAAGCATATTATCTACCCAGAAATACCAAGCTGTTAAAAACCATGTAATTTTAATCAAGGCTACAAGTTTATTATAAAAATAATATATTAAGTATTTTATATAACTACACATGCAAATACTTTATCATCATCAATATTACAAATAGTAATAAATTAAGTTATTATAATATCTAAAAGCTAAATATTTGTTAATTAGACGATTATTATAATTAATAATTCTAAACATAGTATACTTGCAATTTTAATTTTGTGGTCAAAAAATATGACTATAAAAATATAATATAATTAATATAACTTAATTATCTATTATAATGTTAACTGTTATACTTCTGACATTTTTGAAAACCGGTAACAAAAAGATATAGATGTAGATTCAATAAACTAGTGTAATAAATTAAGTCTATAAATAAAAATATGTATACATAATAATATGTTCAATGTGTACCCATAATTTTACAGACAGTTACTATCTGATATATTACATTCAGCATCCTATCATTACAGTATGTCACTGTAAACAGGTACAATAAATAATTAAAAATTCCGATTAAAAAAATAATGTGTATTTAAACATATTATAATACTCAATTATGTTTTACTACATTATGGAAATTATGTTATAAACATATTGTTTATTATTGTTATAATCAAAAACATATATATTATTAATCCTATATTAAAATTATATAAAACATCATATAAACTATTCCGAAAATTGTGATTTAACTTAAAATTGTAATTATTATTATATCTAATAGTATACATATCAATATACATTTATATATTTGATATTAATAGTGGATATTTAAAAACATTTTAATTGGTAGGCAATAAAATAAAACATGGGTTACAAGCTAAAATAATTATTTGTATCAAATTATTAGTTGACAGTCGAAAGTATTTTAAATAATTAATAAATTTTAATAAAAAAAATCAATTGTAAAAATTGAAATGTTTATAAAGGTTTTGGTTTTATTTACAACGCTCATCCAATATTACATCATCAAACAAATACAGATCTATGGTAAATGTCAACAATTGAGCATTAATAAGTCATTACAATTGTTTAAAAAATATAATAAACTTAAAATTATTTTGTTGATGTTTACATAAACGTACGTGTAGAGCACATATAATTTTGATCTTCTAACATTGCGCATTACAAGGGGTAATACATATCTCACTAAATGTATTATATTCATAGCAAATATATATTATTATTTTGTTGTTTATTTTTTTACATGGTAAGTCTTGTTGATGTAATAGGTACAATTGCAACCATGTGCTAAGTTATTCATCATCATAATAATAAGCTAATATAATATATGAAAAAAAAAACAAAAATTGTCATTATTTAGAAAAAATACTATCCACCAGTGATAAATCCTCCTGTAGAAGTACGGATATTGTTAATTCTATCACCCAATAGTGCACCACTTTCCATCTCACTCTCCTGAGTATTGGCAGTCTGTAAATTGTTGGTGGCGTCAATGGTAACAGAAGTAGTATTACGTTGTCGACACAAATATGGTGTGTCAACAGGGGATGGTGTGTCACGACCCTAAGACAATTAAAATATATAAAAATATTTGTTTCATAATTGCACTATTACAAGTGAATTTACCTGTTTTGATGGGCCGCAACATGTTTGCAATTGACACGGTATGTCAGTTTTAGGACAATCTAATACACAGTCTTCAGTAGGAGTCTGATTTTCATTCCTATTTTCAGTAACCTAAAATTAGATATTACATAAAATCAAAGTATATTAATATTAAATAACAAAATTATTGATAAAATTATAAAACTCACTTCAACTTCCACGAATTCGGGCTGGATGGTAGTTGAATGTATACCTTCATTATGGAAAAATTCTTTAACTTTTTCTGCTAACTTCATATATTCTGGCAAATTCCTACACCTGGTAATAATTATACAATAAAACTTTTGTATCAGATGTTTCACTTATTAAAATTAAACTCAACAACAAAAATACCTGATATGTGCAGATGCTATGATTCTATCTCCAGCCAATTGCCACACATGGAACTCATGTACAGCTAAAACTCCATCCACTCTGTCTAAAAGTCGTTTCTGGATGGCGTCTACTTGAATATGGGTAGGAACAGTCTGAAGGAGTATAAGTGCAGACTCTTGTAACAATGGCCACACTGAGTGTAAGATAATAATCACCATTAACAAACTCAAAGCAGGATCAATGTAATCACGGTATTCCCAATCAGTCAACCACACAATCTAAAAATAAGCACAACTTAAAAATATTCTACATAAATTAATTAAAATGAGAAAGTCAAAGCTATTGTTCGTTTAATCTTAATGGATACCTACCTAATATATAAAAATAATGCCTAGCTTCTGAACTCCAACTAGACAGATCAAAGTAAAAATATGGGCTAGTAGGTACCGCTCTGATGTACAGTAGGTGTCAAGTGGGTCACTATAATGGATGTTTTAAATTTCAATTCAATGATATATAATAGCATTGTATAGGAAAAAAGATTCTGGGTGAAGACAGTCTGTCAGCCTGTATTATAATAATATTTTAATATTACAAAAACATTACAAAAATCATGATTTTCCGTTTAAACAAATTATTTTGAAAAAAGTTCAAGTTCCTAAATTTATTAATTTTTAAGTTACACCAAAAAACCAAATTCAATTTTGTCAAAAACTAATTTTGAGTAAAAATTCCAAATTAAGTTAATACTTTTTTTTGTTTTTCCCAACACTTTTAAAGCATCTACGGATTTTCAATTTTAATAGCTCGAGAAAAGTTTCTAAAGTTAAAATTTAAAGCATTATTTTGATTACTAATCTTGTATACAGACACAAATAAAAAATTAATAAAAAATCACACATCACATGAAATCAATAAATTAATCGATAAGCTCAGAATCTAAAATTATCAAATCAATTATTATAGCAATCAATTATTAAGGAAAACTTTATCTATTATCATCAACTTGTTAAAGAAATTTGAATTTATAAGAAAATTATGTAAAAACTTTCATCAATTATTATTAAAGATAGTCATTTGCACAGCACACACTACCGGTAGTCAATATTAATTTTGGCTTATAACGGAGTTCATGGGATATCAAACATTTCATAGATAATATGTATGTTTTACTAAATGGTATGTAACCTTACCGTGCATACTGTGTACTGTTTGTTTTTACTATATTTTTATAAATAAATAACAATGTTGTCTTCCAGTATTTGGTATTATTTTTCTGGAGTATTAATGACATTCGTTTTATTTATTATTAGTTCATAGATGTAGAACTCAACACAATCAGATAAGTTATCGGTTTTAAGTTGGTCAAATATATAATCATTTAGAAATTTGATAATAAGCAGTGTTAGCTTAACATGGCCCTAAAGAAAAAGTAGGGATAGTCTTCTAGAAAAAATGTATATTGTATAATACCTATGTCTCAATCAATAATTGTTATAAACATTAATTGTTTTGAAATATTTTGAACAAAAAATGTACAAAATTAAAATAAGAACAGCTTTTTTATAATATGTAGAAATAGTAAGCCAATTTTAAAAACAATTATATTTATCAGAAAAATAAGAATTTTTTACGGCATAAAATAACTTATTTTGAAAAAGCTAAATGTCTATACATACCAAAGCTGATACAATTACGATGACTGAACCTAATGCATCAGCTAGAAGATGTAAAAATACACCTCTCATATTCATATGACCAGCAGAAGATTCATGGGTGTGATTAAGTGGTACATTAAAACGATGATCATTATCATTATCATCAGTAGCATTTGCACTTGCTCCAGCGCTTACTAATTGAGTTAATCGTGTGTGGCTGCGAGATATACCACCATGTGAATGTCCATGTCCTCCTCCACCATGAGCTAAAAAAAAAATTAAAAAACTTTCATTAATAAATAATATAAATACAAACTGGAAAACCATTGAGAAAAGATAAATGTATTACCATGAAACAAAAATAAACCCAAAATATTGACAAATAATCCCAAAACTCCAACCACAACAATGAATTTAGGATTGTGAATGGTCTCTACTTCAATAAACCTAAAACAAAAAATAATTATAGATAAAATTGTGATTTGAACATATTATTTTAATAGCTATATGCATACCTCTTACAAGCCTCAACCGTAATTGAAAAACACAAAGCTACCAAAAACACAGCATTTACAAGTGCTCCAAGTACTTCAGCTCTAGCCCATCCAAATGTGTTTTTTGACCATTTTTTTGGAGACATCTAAAAAAAAATAATTTGCAAATTGTAATTAAAATATTAATACATTTAAAAACTTAAGGATATAGCACGTTTTTGTATAGAATAGGGTACTTTTCTAAAAGTACGTTTTAGCTCTCAAATAAAGAGAGCTCTAATATTATATTAGGTCGTCTGCGTAACAAAATTACGAAGAGCCCAAACGCGTATGATCATTGGCTGGATCAAATGTATTAATTACATTTATATTAATATTTAACGACTCTTAATGACCGCGGTATAAAACTAGAACAAACTACAATAACGTGTTTTTTTCGTTCCTATTCGCTATGGTTAAATAGGTATGCATGTACATCAACATAATAATAGGTAGCTGGAATAATGCATTTAAAAGTTAAAACATAGTTTTGAAATATGTAAATACTATATACGTGGTTTTTTAAGACCTTAAGAGGACGTAACACTAACATTTGTTGTCTCCGTCTTATAAGTGGGTAACATAGACAATTTATGCTCGTGTAGCTTCGTTAGTTTAAAAACAAGAGTGAATCGACCTATTATGAAACTTGAGGGTAGGAACATTATCTGTGTTTTTAAGTGAATTTTGTATGATAGTTCAATTTTTTAGCAAATTTTGAGTATATAATATAACGTAAATTAAAAATACTCATAACTCACTTTCTCACTTCAAACTAACGAAGCTACACTTGATCTGCTAAGCGTAAATTCTCGGTTAGGTACATACTTGTAAGACGGAGGCAACAAATGCCAGTGTTACGTCCCCTTAAACACACGACTTCAGTCTTCGACAATAATATTTCAGTTTATCGTGGTCGACATCATATTATCATCACGACTATAACAAAGGTACTTACTTTAACCGATAAATATGCGACCACCAATGCCGCGACGTCGCTGAGCATGTGAAAGCTGTCCGCGACAAGGGCCATCGAGTTGGTTATATAGCCGACGATGATCTCTACCAAAAAGAAAAACGTCGTCAGCCAAAACATGGTGATGAGTCTGCATTTTTTCCCGCTGTATCGACCCATTTTTAATAATCTGTAAAAAAAAAAATGAAAGGCAATAATATCAATAACAGTGGACAACTGCAGTAAAACATAAAATGTTGTGTTTATTGTAAACAATGTTATTTGTATATTGTGAAAATAAAATAGAGCGAAATCCTGCAACAGAGAGCGTGAAATACCCATACATGAATATTATAATGTACAATATCATAACCTATCTAAACAACAGAAACCGCAGCAAGTATACCTTACATCTTAAACATAAATCATATTAATAAAAAATATGTAATTTTCTTTACTAGATAATTTACAAAACATATTGAAGTATAACTAGGTCTAGGTGTTCCTTTTAACAGTAAAAATTAATCATCTTGGAACGTATAAAAGTTTTAGAAGTTATTCAAAACTTAGAGTGGAGAAGTATTACACCAAAATTAGAAACGTTTTAACGTTTTAGAAGTTATTTAAAGTTTTAATTAGAAAAATAAAAAGTAAACCAGTTTTGAGGTGTACCCATCTCACCACAATACCAATCTACATCGATTATCATAACTTGAAACACTTATAGGTATCTAACTAAAAATTTGTGAAGAATTCAATTATTGAACAATAATGAAAAGCTCGAGGAAAAACTTTAAAAAAGATAACAACGAAACAGTGTAAAAAATATTTTTTTTTCAAAATCGTTTTTTTTTTGTACTTTAAATTATGAATAAAAATACTTTTAAAAGAATTAATGCATTGTCTCCCAAACCATGGGTCGCGAGCGCGACTCGCTGTTACGATTACTGTTATTTTAGCCGTAAATTGGTATCTCTATATTGTATAGTAATAATGTGAAGTCCAACTATTATTGTAGAATGATAGAATTTTTTTAGCAGGGGGTCGAGTACTCAATAAAGATTAAATTTATGGGTCACTATTGCAAAAAGTTTGGCAAACACTGCATTAATGCATTTCAGCTTTTCAAAATAATAGATGTTTACTTGCTGTTAAAGCAATCACCCTGTATAACATATAATATGCGACTCTACATCAAACCGCGCACGCGCTATAGCTGTTTAATTACAACTATAGAAACGACGACGACGACGTTCGTATCATAGTTATAACAGTCGATTTTTTAAAACTTCTCAAAACAAAACAAGATATGACAATCGAACGAAGATATTATTATTAAAATAAGTACACGTTTTATTTCAAACACTCCAAATTGTATTTATTCGTCATTAGACGATGAGTGTTCTTCCTGACTTGGTCTTTTTTTTAATTCTAAGATCGCGAATATTTGTTTTGTATTTATTGCTTTACTTTCAGAACTTTTTTAATGAAATCTATGCAATGCAATTTTAAACAACGATTATTTATAGAAGCATGTAAAATCTTCCTGAACTCCTGTACAACGGTTTTTAAGCTATTTATATTTTATTTATAATTTATTCTTATTTAGGAATTGCAACATTTATGTATCGTAATTGTTCTGCGCAAACCATTAAAAATGAAAAATGAATAATAAAATCAACATCAAAACGGATGCTTGTTACTAATTTTTAATTTTTAATTTTTAATTTTTAATTTTAATACCTAAATTAAAATAATTTTTTTTAAATTTGGCGACGTAATTATATTCCACGAAAATATTTTCATATAATTTAGAATGAAACACTCGGACTAATAATAAAATCCATGTGGGTCGTGAGCATAGAGCATACCGATGTTACATAGTTTTGCAAATGTAAAACATCAGCAGAATAATATCTATTTCTACAAGATAAAAATTTGTTTAATTTGCAGTCGCCATTACCATACAAAAAAAATTGTATAGTAACTATTGCTTTGAAGATACAACAAGAATACATTCATCAGCTAAGAAATATTTTAGGTACCATAATATGCGTTGTGTTCTTAAAAGTAGGTATATACATTAAAGCTTATTCTGCGGATTTTTCACACACATAAACATACCAAAATACATATTTTGAAATCCTATTTATTTTCTAAAAATATAACCAAATTATTATCCCACTCCTACATTATATAATAAATCAATGTACAATAATTGCATCACATAATATATATTGAACGATTACAGTTGCATTACCTATTTAAATTAGTAATATTTGAGTGTCAAGTAGATTAGTGTACTCAAGTTTAATAAGTATAGTTAATTTATTAAGTAAACAGAAAGACACTATCAATCAAATATTATAATATATTTATTATTTAATATCATTAACGAAATTTTTTTTTTTATTGTTATTATTAATGGAATCAAATTGAGGTGTCTCTAAAATATATTTAATGAAAATTATGAAACCAAGGTCTAAATTGGTTTACTCATTTATAAACATTACTATACGATGCATTAATAGTGTTAGTTTAATACGATAAAATAAGTAAAACATTATGCACTGATTATCAACAAATTAATAAATACAATTAATAAAATAATCTTTAAGAATTGCAAACATGCAATTAAGTAAAATATAGGTACCTACATAAAAATTATTAGAATATCTTTATTTAAACAAACAAACTTTTATCTTTTCAGGCAATTCAATAAGTACTTATAATTAAAACCTATAAGGAAGGTTACGGAGTAATAAAAATTTATTGAATTAGATGGAATATTATTTTTATCATTGGTCAGTCAAGACAAGTACCTACTTTAGAGTTTCGTTTTACTAAGTACTTTTTGTTTTCCTTAATACAAACAATTAGGTATATAGGTTAGGTTAGGTCACTAAACTATTATTCACAAAATAGTTTCAAGGAATTTGCGCAACAATAAATGAACTCAAATGTATTAAAGAACCAATATTAAAAAGATATTGGTGTAGATTGTAGATAGTTGATGAATAAAAGTCTTTGTATACATTTTATAAAATATAAATATATAATACTATACAATATACATACATGCACTTCAAACATAAAATATTATTTATCTATTCATAAAAAAAGTTAATTTTTACTATTAGATAAATTTATTAGACTTTTTATTATTAGAACTATATAAAACAAGATAATAATTTATTGACACATTTACATAACAGATACTTAAATTATCCTATTCTGTATGATATTAAAATTAATTTCGATCAAATGTAAAATTAGTCAAATGTACCTATTAGTTAATGGTTTCTAGGTTATTCCAGCGAATTTTCCGATTATTAATGATTAGTATAATTTGATGATATTTTATACATTTTTATTTCTGTTATGTCCATTTTAAATTAAAAAATAATATAAAACAATTTGCGCAATAGCTGTTTTGTTTTCAATTAAATTAATATATATTATTTTTAATTTAAAAATGGTCATAACAGAAATAAAAATGTATAAATAATCGTTTAATAATTGTATTTATAAAATATGGAATTGAATAAGCGATCAACAACACGCTACGTTTTTCGAATTTTTAAATACCATTTTTACTGTGCAGTAACACTGTACCTATACACTTCGTCTCTAATTATTACTACTAAGTACTAATCAGTAACAATCAAAAAAAACCAGTAGGTTTACAAATTAATCTAATTTTAAATTTCACATGGGCACAAGTTACATTGAGACAATCAGTAAGGGTTTAAAGGTACAATAGTGAATAGCGAACATTATGCATTTTAATGTCTAACAAATAAAATACTTATCACTATTTGCACAAGTTTAATTCATTCGTAATGTTACAATTTATAAATATTACCAATGTAAAATAAATACCTACCTTACTGTTTACATAATAATTTGTGATAAAAATCTAAAAAACACTAATTATTAAAACAGGTTAAGGTTCAATTATCTACAATAATTGAATTCTTATTGTCTATACTCTATAATAATAGCTTATTTGCAACGGAATTAAATTACAAAAATGATTTAGGTTTGTGTAATTTTTTTAATGGTAATACTAAATCAAATCTATTGGAATTTAATTTTTCGAGAACACTAACAGTCATCGTATTTTTCATACGACAAAAAGGGACAACATTCGATTAATCGATACCACATATTCACATTATCAATTTAGGGGGGGGGGAGAGTAAAAACGGTGTAATCTATTTGAGATATCATGTAATTTATTCACTATTTAGTATATAGTGCACTTAAAAACAAGATAGGTACAACTAATGTACAATTATTTCGGAAAATTACGATTCGGTATCACTGTTACCTCAACGATATTATATACTTTTGAAAAAAATTTTAGATGTAGTAACTGAGTACAAATACACAGGTACATCAATAAATTATTATCATACCTCTTACTGTATAACACAACTTAAGTATGTTGCAATCATTAATTGAATAATAATATTTCGCGTTATTTTCTTACTGCAGGAGTTCTTTAGATTTTTAATGTGTAGTTTTATTGATGTTAAGCAAATCGTCTTTATTATATCATATGATTTAACTATACAAGTTTAATAATTACTGATACTACAGAGTACCTATTCCTATTGTAATAATAGTAACTATCAAGATAATTATTGAATATATTTTACATTTTTTCCACCAAGAGTGTGGCTATAATTGTCATTGTCATAAATATGAAAGTATTATTAAAAACAAGTGCCTAACACGACAGTTTCCAAACAGTTGAAATATTGTTGTTAAAATTGATGAAGTTGGAAATAATTTACTGGCTATTATTTATTCTACAGTATATTCCGTAAAGGTTGGGAAATACCAAAAAGAACGAGAGTAAAACACAAACTCAACAAAGGAGGTACATATAGTCATCATTCCACATACTTAATACTGAAAGTTAAATTTCTAGAATTGCAATAAAAAAATCCTAGTCAAATGGCCTTTATGTCCTCGGACTCTTCGTCCGGGATTCGTGTGCAACATAAATAAAATGCATTCATGTAAAATCGTTTTTTTTTCATTATTTTTAAGTAATTGTAGAGTGAAATCGCCTATTAGTGAAGAGGATAATATTTTTGAGTGATTGGATTATCGATTTAATATTTTTTCATTATAACTTTATATTCGACTTAAGAATAAAAACAATTTATTGGAAGTTTA